GTATCAAGGGCATGTGCTGCTTCAGTTAGGTTATTAGTGAGAAATAATGAGGTTATAAGAGAGAAACAATGCGGCAAGACGTGCATCCAAATGAGAGGGAGAGACCGGGAAGCTAGACGTTTCTTCTTATATTAACTAACGTACTCTATGCATCCAAATGAGAGAGAGAGAGACCGCGAAGCTAGACGTTTCTTCTTCTATTTATTAACGTACTCTACGCATCCAAATGAGAGAGAGAGATACCGCAAAGCTAGACGTTTCTTCTTATATTAACTAACGTGCTCTACGATTAGCTCAGTGAATAATACTTTTTTTTTAAAACATAGACCCGGCTAGAACAAGCGGAGTGATACAAAATGGTCCTTTGTTCACTTCTTTTTACCACGGATTCGTTTACAAACAAGACACAATTCCATGCAGGATTTTCAGAATGATTGAAAATAAAAGACAATGCTGTGCATTATAATATAATGACTATAAGGCAATATAGTCAATATTGGATCCAACAGTAATGTCGCACCACACAAGTGTGAGTAACTGTTTTTATAATGTGGTCACTATTGCTTTGTCTTTTATTAAATATCATTTGATATGTACTGAGTATTCATGCGTTTTTAACCTAAATCAAAGCAGTATCCATCTATGAAGGATGCAGAAAAATAAGCTGTGAAGTTTAAAGACCTGGTCACAGAAAATAAAAACTTGAGCTGAAATGTAGTTTATTAATTAACTCTTGCCTATCAAAACAAATGCCTGGTGCCCTCTAGTGGTATGTGAGGGATACTGTTTTAAGGCTTTTGTCGAGCTATATTTTGCTTTTGGTGACAGTCAGCAGATTCTGCTTTTAATGGAAAGTGCAAACTCCAGTCCGCTCATCCTCTTTCTACTCCGTCATGGTCTCAGGTGCTCAATTGCAGTACATGAGGAAGGTGCTGGTGTAATTAGTATTAGTGTTCTGGGCTGTCTACACGCTCACTGGAGTGAGACATTTTGCTGTTTTTCCCCACTGACCTGCCAGTGAGTCAGTTGCTTCCCACTGCCATGTTTACTACTTTTGCACTGCAAAAAAAACACATAATTAAATAAAATAAAAATAAATAATTATACAAAATTGTTGTCTATATTATTAAAAAGTTAGAGGTTGGTAAACATTTTTTTTAATGTCTCTTAAGCTCAGCAAGGCTGCATTTATTTAATAAAAAATGCAGTAAAAACAGAAATTTTGTGAAATATTATTACAATTTAAAATAACCATTTTTATTTAAATATATATTAAAATGTAATTTATTGCTGTGATGCAAAGCTGAATTTTCAGAAGCCATTACTACAGTCTTCAGTGTCGCATGATCTTTCAGCAATCATTGTAATCATTCTATTATCACACTTGAAAACGATTGTGCTGCTTAATATTTTTGTGATGCATTCTTTGATAATTAGAAAGTTCACAAGAGCAGCATTTATTTGAAATATAATTTAATTTCTAACAATGTAAAAGTCTACACTGTCACGTTTGATCAATTTAATGCATGTTTGCTGAATAAAAGTAATTTCTTTGAAAAAAAAAATTCTACTGACCACAAACTTTTGAACGGTAGTGTATTATAATTATATCAATTACATTTATTTTATTTTCCCACTGGCAAATCGTTTTTTCTTGCCTTAAAAATATAATTTAGAGAGACTTCTGTGTAAAATAGAAAAAAAAAATCTAAAATTTGATGGAGAAAATTATTTTTGTGCACTGTGTACTTTGTGGGGACCAGCCAACAGTCCCCAGAAAAACAGCATCATAAATATTCTAAATGAAAATCTAAAAATTCACAAAAGTCATTCTATTACATTCTTTAAAGTTTAGGTTTGGGGTTATGGGTTAGAAAACATCATTAGCTCAGTATAAAAACAATAAAAGCTGATGGAAAGTCTCCACCAGGATAGAAAAACAATCATGAGTGCATGTATGTGTTTATACGCTCACACTCCTGGCTCTCTGTGCTGTTTCTCCAGGTTGTGGCAGTGACCCTGAGGCAGATTTGAGCTTCATGATGTCAGAATATAAAGAATACCGCCGTTCACAGGTCATAGCACCTAAGGCCACCACTCAGTACAATCAGTTCCTGCCATCAAAGGAAAAACAGTCAGGCTACGTTCCAGCACCATTACGCAAGAAACGTGCAGAGCGAAATGACGACAACAGAAGAAGCTGGGCTAGCCCTATGTACACAGAAGATGATGGCTCTTTTACAAGGTAATGGAAGTCTGCACTTCAGAGATCATAGGGGGTTTTCAATAGACGGCATATATTCACTCACTCTGGTGAAAGGTGGCCAATGAATTATGATGTTGTCGAGACCATGCTTGCAGAAAAATGTTTTCTGTAGGTTTGGTTGTACTCAAAATCATTTTCTTTAGTCTCCAACTTCTCAGAATTTTCTCCAGACAAAAAGAAACTAGTAATTTTAAATCCGTCTTCTCTTGAGTTTTAAAAGAGACCTCAACTATGTCTCAAACTGTGCTCTGATAACTGCAATCTAAAGATCCGAATGTGAACTCTTGGTCATTCACTTTTTCTATATTTATTATCATTATATTCCTCCTTTGTAGGGATATATAAAAGTTCTCAGTGTTTGAATGCCGGTGCTTATTTTTCCCACTATTTCTTGACTTTATACTTTTGTGACCATCATTGGTGGTCAGTCCCAGTCATGAGAGTGCAGGTTCAGACCCTTCATCTATCACCGGGTTGAAATCCCAGACTGCTGCTCACCCGTCTTTGGCCTATGAGTATGAGAGCAGTGATTCGGATGCAGACCGAATGGATCCCGACGTGGTTCTAGATGACCTTGCTAGCCGTAGATTTCACAGCCCCTCCTCTGTCGCTCCAACCAACTTTGCCATACCCATGAGCCAGCTGGAGGCAGCTGCTATCCCTTGTACTACCAGGTCACAGGTGGCTGTCAGTAATGTGTCCCGGCAGACACTGACCCATCTCAGGTCAGAACTGGCATCATTGACATGCATCTGTTTGCCATTTTATCAGTGCTAACTTTGGGTTTTCTTTGTTGCTGTGATGTCATTATTTTGCTTGATTTTCAACCTATAGCGTGGACTTTTTGAAACAACATTGTCTTTTTAATGTTTGCTTTTTATTTGGTTTGCTGTGCTTGTTAATCATGGATGGTTTGATGTGCATTGATCATTGGCAGAATATAACAAAAATGGCTGTCTTTTGAGCAGCAGTCAATCACAGCCTCTTGAGAGGACTTACAGGAGGCCTGTATCCACTGGTGTCTGCATTTATGATGACTCTGAAGAAGAGGATGACGAGTTTGGCTATGCTGATCCTGTTCAAGATGATCTGTATGCCCGTAAAGCAGGTCTGAGGCCTCAACCGTCTGTAACAGTGCCTTTTGATACATTTCTGCCCAAGTTCTGGACACCTGAGGAGGATGTACTCGTGAAGAAGATCAAACTGGGCTCCCAGCGTCGGCCTTGGTACAGGAAGATCCAAGGTTTCAGGTCTGTCCAGTACTGAGGCAAAAAAAGAAAAAAGCATACTGCAAATAATAAAAAATTATTAAAATGTGAAAACAAAATCAGATGAGCAGGAGGGGAGGTAATCAAAAGGACATTAATGATAATGGTTCTTTCCAGAGATTCAGATTCTCTGGTTTGTAATGTTTCCGTTGACAGTATTTCATAATTTTGAGGAAGAAAGAATGGAAATTATTTGGACAATTACAATTCTTACTGCATTCACTCCAATAAGAAGCTGTTGTCAACTTATGAGAGTTTTAGATTTCAACAGAACAATAAAAACAAAATAAATCACATTTTCATATTTATTGGAATTGAAATATAATTGGAAACTGTTCATGAAAATCTTTTGGATACAGTATTTTTATTTTTTTTGTGAAATCTAAATAAGAACCTGTTCTCAATTCCCAGCCCTCTCGATCAGTCCATTAGGTGTTCAGATATTAATTTCTAATGCACTGTAAAGACGTGTCTGGCAATACACTGACTCTGAAAAAGTACAGTGTTTGGCCACTTAGGTCACACTTAAATTTGTAGATTGCATAGATAAAAAATTATGTGGCATCTGCAAACAAATTATGCTAGACCTGTTATATGGACGAGTTCCACAAAATCGACCAACCATTAAAGGGGTCATATGATGCGATTTCAATTTTTCCTTTCTCTTTGGAGTATTACAAGCTCTTGGTGCATAAAGAAGATCTGTAAAGTTGCAAAGACTAAAGTCACAAATCCAAAGAGATAATCTTTATAAAAGTTAAGAGTCAGCCACGCCTACCTAAAACGGCTCGTTCTAACACGCCCCCACATACCTACATCACTATCTGGGAAGATTTGCATAACGCCGCCCAAATGTTCACGCAAAGAAAGAAGGCATAACTTTTATTCTCGCTGTAGTATTGTTGTTGCCGCCACCATGTCGTGAAGGCGCTGTGTGCTTCGTTGTGAAAGTGAAACTACTTTGTTTGGCCTTCCAAAAGAGGAGGATATCGCTTCGTCATGCCTAGAGCTGATCCGTGCTGGTCGCTGAGGAAATACATCAACTTCGCACTGTCGATCGCCGGATCGGCTTTCACCGTGGACGAAGCGGAGTCCAGCACAGGGTCGTCACATGTCGTTGCCGCAGGCATCACAATATGGTAAGGGATGTAACAAATAATGTGTTTTTTGAACCTTAAACCGCATAAACACATTTCATTACACCAAATACACAAAATAATGTTCTTTATTACAGCATCATATGACCCCTTTAAGTATCTACATTTTGTATTAGTTTTTGTCTTGATTTAGAGCAGTACATCAGTTTTGCTCATACTTTCATATATTTTCAAGTGTGGCTTAAATGTCCAAATACTTTTGGTGCACTGTAAACCCTGAGGTTTCTTTTTGGCTTATTTACTTCATCACTAAGGCTTCTCTGTTGCCTCTCTGTCTTCTTTGTGGTGATGGTTGCTAACCTTTCGCCCCTGTCTTTCTCTGTGCTCTTTTACCTCATATTTTCCAGCTACAAGAAGTCAGGTTTGTCTTCTGAAGAATCAGACAGTGATGTCAACCCCTGGCTCTCTGTACCTACTTTCTCTTGCACTCAGTCTGAACCCCCTCCCTCTCACTCCCATGCACCTGAAGGCCTCGCTCTGTCCAGCCACACTTCCACGCTCAGGTCCTTATCACAGCCCCATATGCATTAGGACTGGACATCTACTCACTTCCCCTAATCAGCTTCTCCTCATGTTCTAATAAATGTATGAACTGGTGCTTAGTAACATGTAGTGTTTTTTATTCAAAATCATCAGCATGAATGTTAATGATCTCACCAAACAAGTGCATTTGTATCCAAATGAAAATGGTGAGAAGGATCATATTGTCAGCATAATATCAATATTCAATTCAGAAATGTTACCCAAAAAGATGAACAACATTGTTCATAGCTCAAAAAAATGACAATGAGGTGGTTCATGTGACTCATTACAAGTCTTCTGAAGCCGATTGATTTGTGTGAGCAGAGGACAAAGCTATCCAATAAGGCCCTCCAATAAGCTGTTCCTTCCACAGAACAAGGACTCAAACCATTGAGACAGTCAGTGAGTTGAGAACCGGATCAGTAAATTAATCATTCCTTTAAGCCTTTTCAGTGAATACAGATGATTCAGTTTACAAATCTGACTTATCAATTGTTTTACAAACACACTGATGTCATTCAAAGCAGCTCTTGAATGATTTGCCACCACTGACTTGAAGGGGAAGATTATAATTGAATATGACTTAAATTTTGGTAATTTCTTCACACTAAGCTGGCTTCAGAAGATGTGGAATATTATGAATGCATTGTATGGACCATATTTATGGCTCTATTTTTTGTGCATTTTTTGAGTTTCAAGGCCCGTTCACACCAAAAACAATAACTATAATGATAAGTATATTAGCAGCGACACCAACACATGATAACATTCTGTTAATTATAAGTGCACAGTGTAGTTACATCGTCTGCCGCTTTAAATGCTCAAGCACTTCGTTCATCAGTTGGAAAAATTGTTCTGAATGTGATTCCAAGAATGTTGTTCCTCTGTGTTGTTATCATCATAGTTGTGGTGTGGACTTCCCTATTCTCATGAAATTAGAGCAATTATTAAAACTTTATAGTTATCGTTTTAGTTATCATACTTTGTGTGAACCGGCCTTAACGACGGTCGCTATGAACTCTTGCATGGCCTGCATCATGATTCTTAAAAATACTTACTGTTTTTGTATTTAACTTTTAGTAAATATAACTTTGTATTAACTTTTAGTATTTTGTGGCAGAGCAAATTGAGTCCACATAATGCTGCTGTTACTTATATATTACATGGTTAGCGGTATCCTCCTGCATGCACTACTCTGTTAACTTGCTTAGAGATATTTACACTTCCATTCTCCTACTGTCCCCTTGCATGTTCTGAATCTTTTCTTTACTCTTTTCTCCTTTCATTCACCACAGTTCTCAAACACAACCCCTCACGGTTGCTCAGCAGAGTGCTGGGCTGCATAAGTTAGAACCCCCTGATTTTTGGCCCAGACCGGATCCTGCCTCTGGCCCCAGACTCATAAAATGTGAAAAGCGTCCTCTTCTAGGGCGTGAACACCCTAATGACCCATACAACGTTTCTGCTGACATCCTGCCTGATTTAGAAAATGATGATATGTTTACACGTCGTACAAAAACCTTCCACTCAAGTGATGACCTGGCCAAGTTGAAGTATGGTAACTTCCTGTTGCCTCGCCGCAGATCGGAGGCCGACTTCATGGTGGTAATTCAGCCCCGCCATGAGGGTGAACCTGTTTATCCTGACATTGAAAAAGATGATGTGGTTTTTCGAAGGGCTCAACAGCAAATCAGCAATCGCCCTCTGTCTGGGGCCCCTGATAACTACCACCCTGTTCCTATTCCAGAGGCATGGGCTTTGCCACCAAAACTTCAGGCCAAGTTGATATGTGACCCAGTTGAACCCAGACAGCACAAATCCAAACCAGAGATTAAACATGGAGCAGAACAGCACCTGAAAACAGATGATATGCTACTTAGGAAGCTACGGGCTTTAAATACCCAAGGAAAGAAGGAAAGGGGAGCTCCCAGTGTTTCTTTCTCTTGCAGTGATGAAGATGTGCAGAAATGGCAAGCTATCAGAGAGGCCAGCCGTGTGCGATACTGGAAGAGGCTGATGGTGGAGAGGTTAGGTTTCTGAGCCTGCAGAAATGCCTGTGTGCACTTGTCATCATGATCTCAGCTGTGATGTACTTTTCCTATTCTCGTGTTAACTATAATCTTACACTGGCAATGGCAGATGTTTGTGAGTTTAATATGGGTGTGACTTTGATTGCATGAGCCCTGCCACTTGATAAATGATTGTAACAGGTAGATATTTGGATTTTCTCTTGAGTTATGTTGGACCGGACTTCAAAATTTGCACTAATTTTTGGTTTGATTAAGTCCTGATGTCAAAATTGTTCTCAGCATTTAAATTTAATCCATGATGTGTTTTATCCACCTTATTTTAACATAAGAGTGGGGCACAGCCATTTTTAATTTGAGTGTGCAAGGCTTTCAGCGTCAACCTCTTCCAGTAATTTTAACTGTACAAAAACAGATATTTGTTATTTGGTATTTGTTTTATTACATTATATTTTTATGCTTTATGTACTTCATTATACTTCTAGTTATTAACCTATAGTGAGTGGCTAATCAATCAGAAGTTTTGCAGATTCATAGGAAATAGCTTACTTTCATGATGAAAAATAAGGCGGATAAATGGTTTATTTATTTGGTCATTGATACATATTTCAAATAACTTTATTTAGGTTTATTTAATTATATAAAAATAAAAGCATTTTCATTTATTTTAATTATTTATTTAACTATTAACATAAAACATAAAAGTAAGGATGCATAAGCCTTGATTTGTACAGGAACACCAAAGAATGTGACATTTGCCATTCAGATGAGAGACATATCATCTGTGAACTGCATTTTGCTTGTGTTCAATAAAAAAAAAAACTGATAGTTTTGGTGATGAATGAATCTAAGAAACCAATGCATCATGTACAGACTCCACTGCTTAGACTTTCGTTTAAGCAAAGTTTCCTAACAGGCTTTATATGGTGTGAGTGTATCCAGTTAAGCTGTGGTGGAATTTTAAAACCTGAGCAATGTCTATAAATAATCCTGTCAGACACATCCACTCTTTACGAGGTAGCTTACAATGCGCTTTAGCTCCAAATTCCCCACACCCTTGTGATCCTGTAAAAGCTGGAACTTGAACCCCAAGTACAAGACTTCATTTGATCAGAGTCCATGTAATGTGGGGGCATTAAAAAGAGCAACTGCACTGGGATTGGTGGGGAATTCTACAAGTTTCCAATGATGTCATTCCACAGTTACAACTGTTTGCACATTTTAAATGTCAGACAGTCAGGTCTGTAATCAGAGAATTAACTGAATGTTGAAGCATGACTGTGTATTGTAAAATAAATAACTATTATGCACTTGATCATAGCTGGAGCGATGTGACTAAGCTCTTGACATAAGCACTACTGTTTGGGATCAGTAAAAATGCTTTTTTTAAAGAAATTAACACTTTTATTCAGCAAGGTTGCTTTAAATTGATCAAAAGTGACATTAAAGACAGTTAAAATGTTATAACTGAAAATTCAGCTTTGTCATCACAGGAATAAATGACATTTAAAATTATATTAACATAGAATACAGTTATATTAAATTGTATTAAATCTTACACTTTTGCTGTTTTTATTGTATTTTGATCAAATAAATGCAGACTTGGTGAGCATATGACACTTTATTGGTCAGTCAATAAAAACTGTCAATCATCACACCAATATGTGACTGGTTTGTCATTGTGGTTCTCTTTGGTTCCCTAGCCTGCTCCAGAAAAGCTCTGGTATTGAAGGGTGAGTTGTGGCCTTGTGCAGGAATGGCACGTGTGTGTGTGTGTGTGGTCACGGATGCTGCGTAGGCTTTCGTTTCCTCTGCTCTCCCCTACATTAAGCACTGACACTCACCATGTACTCACAATGCTTTGATCTCCTTGAGCTGCTGCCCAAAGATTTTCACTGCAAAAGCAGTGTAGACTACAGATACACACACTGCTGGCTAATTTAATCAAAATCTGTGTTCAATCGTATCGTTCTGGAAAAATCCAGAGCATGAGAAGCACAGATATTTCTGTAATGCGGAAGTATTGTGCTCTCACAGGTAAGACACATGAGTGGAAGTGATTGAATAGGTCACTCATGGAATATTAACCCATTGAGTTGCCACATAACATTTGTGACACCTCATTAGCTGTCTATTAAGACAACTAATTGTGGCTTGAATAATATTTGGAACACGCCTGCTGTTTTACTAACCCATCAATATTTTGTCTTGTAAATTTCTGTTATGTATGATTGCTTGATGAGAGCTGTAACACTCATATCAAAAAGCTGACTACAAGACTACAATCCATTAAATCGTTTTTTCCATCCTAATGCATGGCTTTTTCCTTAAGGAGTTAATCTGACTATTAATGTTTTTTGAAAAACATCTGTTTTCAGGAGCAAATCAGTGAGCGACATCACCGACAGTGAGACGAACCTCAGCAACTCGACGATGGAGTTGCGCTTTGAAGAGCTGCAGAAGATGCGCACTCGGATTAAGGAAAATGAGGATAAGTGGCAAGATGTGAGTATCGGATCACATGGCTTTGTTATCGATAATGATTATAACTGCAGCTGTTCAGCCTGTGAGTCAATGAAAGTTGAGACAAGTAAGATTTCCTCATAAGGACCTTGACTACTTCAAGCCACACAATCACATCAATTATAAGTAGTCTGTAACTGTTCAGTGGTACTTTGTTGTGTGGATGTGGTTGGACTGAGCTTCAGTACAGCATTTAGGTCATACAGGCCCCTAATTCACACGGGAAAAGGAGTCGGGAGGAGCCAAACAGGCAAAATAGGACACTGGCAAAATCTAGTCCTCCCTCACTTCTCAATCTGTCCTCGTATATCTCCACCCTTCCCCTGACTGTCCTTCCTACCGCTACTGCTTATGAATAAGCACCTGTGCTCCAGTTATGGAGGCTGAGCGTCATTCTCCTCGTCCCTGCAGAATCTTACAAGGTGGAAGAATAAGCGCAGGAGTGTGAATTCTGACATTGTGAAGAAGAAAGAGGAGAGGGAACAGATCGAGCAAAACACTTCAGGCACCAGGAAATCAAAGACCTTCAAGGAAATGCAGGATGAGAGGTGAACATAAATTCCATTAAATCAAATAGCTGTGTGAAGCTTAAAAAATTGAAACAGTGCAAAACTGTATATTTTATTTGTTCATTTAATTTAATTTTTGTTGCAATTTAATTTTTTATTTAATATTTAATTTATTTAATTGATATTTCATCAATTGAATTTAATGTTTCACTTAATATTTAATTTTTTTATTTTATTAAATTTATTATTTTATTTTGTGGTTTACTATAAAATGTTGCTGTCGCCGATGCTTTTGTCAATGTGTTGTCTGCTGTTAGTGCGGAGAGTGTAGTCTGTTCTACTTTCTCTGATTCGTCGTCTGCTTAGTGCAAGAGTGTAATCTAATCGCAGTTCTTGTCCTGCCTGTCTCGCTCCTGCCCCTTTTCAGAGAGAGCCGAGAGCAAAGCAACTACAGGGACAGCTTTAACTCCATCACTGATGATGTCTTTGAAGAACCTGTACCCCGAAGCAGAACTCTGCCAGTACATAGCTACACCATTGATACCCCTTACACCCCCATGGACAAACCTTCAGTACCCTCCATACCATCTCTGAGAGAAAAGGAACCTGTCGCTGGCACTCTGGCATCGGATCAGACAGATTTTCCTACCAAACGTGATCGCTCCAGCCCAGATATCCCACTTAAAATGAGTAACAACATTGTGGAGAGCCAAACAACGACCCAAAGCCTTCTGGATGATCCAGTTCCTGCGTTCTCCAACAGCAACTCCAGCCTGATTAAGCGCACCAGTGCGATCAAGCCCACCAGCGTCAGTAAACCCAGCAGCATTCTCATCAGCTCAGAGTTGATTAGCAGCACTAAGCCAGTCAAAAACTCCAGTGGTCTCATTAGCTCTTTGTATAAACCCAATTCAATGGATATAAAGCAGTCTGGGCTGGATCAAGTTTCTGCCTCCCTCCCCAGGAGCTACCAGAGATCAGATAGCGCAAGACTCACCTCCGTAGTCACGCCCAGGCCATTCGGCACACAGTTCAACCGAATCGCCTCCCTTCCCAGAGCATTCACGGTGAGTGGACCTGCTTGGTCTCAAACATCATGACCTGTTTGAATGACATTTTACTTTTTTAGTGAATAAACATCTGAGAACATTGTGCTACTTACCATACTGTGTGATCAGTTTACAACGAAACACTGATGTAATTATAGCTCATATGAATTATAAAGCATCTAACTAAGTTAGAGTAAAACCGTAAAGTGGAAGTGTGATTTTTTTTTAGAAAGCATACCATCTCATTATGGTGTGCAACAGTCTGGTTCTGGAAGTAAAAATTCATTCATTTTCTCCATAGATTTTTAACGATAACTTCTAAACACACCAACTGTGAGCAACAAGATTGTTATTTAATGGTATATGCTTTTGTTGTCAGCTAGCATTAATTTAAGTTTTTAAATAACCATGTTTAACAGCAGAATTTCTGGAGACAAACTACATTAACTACATCCACACAAAAAAAATCCACAAATCAGGGAATCAAAACATGAAAATCACCCACCCACTCCCATAAAGCACTGAGAATGATATAATCGAGTCAATCTTTTGACGCTATCAAAATACTAAAGCAGTTAAGTCGCAGTTTTGTACCTTTGCCTATTCGTGCCTATTCAAATGCTTTTTTGCTTTAAATCAAAGTTTGTGATGTTGTGTTTCACCTCATAGCTGGTTGGTTTGGTTTATGGCTTGTAACTCTTTAGCAGAGACATTTAAATCCCTATGAGAAAAATGAGTGGGGCAAAATGCTTACAGAATCAAGGCCACAAAAAGTGGATGGGCACTGTTACACTCTCTTCCTCTGTTTGAGCTATTTGGTATTTAACCCAAACTTGTCTCATGGTTAAAATGATCATGATCTATTCTGCTTCATTCACTATAACAGCAAGGACTGAATACACCTTAAACAGCATTCAAATTGGTTGCGAAAATACTTATGTTATTAAAAAAAATCTTTTAGATGGATGACTCTCTTAAGCGCACAAATGGCGAGACAGACAGCCTCAAGAAGACAACGGTTTCCAACCGCTCTGCTCAATATGTGAAAGATGAACATATTTCCCAGGAAAGTCCAGTGCAAAGCAGTGACGAAGAGGAGAAAACCCGGTCTCCTGTCCCTCCAGTCAACAGGGTGTCCTCCCTGCCCAAATCTCCATCCCCACTCATTCCTCCTAACGAGGTACAGTAAGACTATCCTGAACTCACAAATCTCACCTACAAACTTGTAACTACATTCAGTTTTCTAAAGCAAAAGTAAATTCCATATGCAGTGACAGATACACAAGCACATTAAATTATATTCATTACATCTCTGCTTAATCCAGTTCATTTAAGCATTTTAAAGCTACACTTTGGGGTCTGGGTTGCCTTTTGTGTCCATTTGGATGTAAATGTGGTCCCACTCCTCAAGTAAATTTTATCCCGAATACCATTTTATAATTTATGGTCATATTAAAGGAAATACATTTAACATATTAAACCACAAATCACTTTATTTTCTGTGTAGAACTGACCTGTCTGTGTCTTCCAGGTGGACTACAGTGAGATGAGGATCAGCCTGAACCAGAAACCCAACAGCAGCCGGGACTTTGGCTTCCAGAGCGACTGGGACTCCACTGGGGTCCGTGTCAAAACTGTAGTTCCAGGTAAAAGAAAAGTATAAAATCCTCAGGAAAAAATTTTTTTTGTCAATAGTGATCTCATGTGCTGCACAGTGAATTAATGAAGCATAAGGACAGGCTCTACCTGCAGCTTCAGAGAGCTTCTTCTGCTGATAAAACATATATGTGCTGCTACAGTATATAGGGCAGATTTTTTTCTAGGTTGATTCTGATGGGCCTCTAGTTGCCCGACACAGCAATGAAACAAAATCTACAAAATTACATGACTCTGTGTGTATTGCTTGAGATGCTAAATGTTAAAATGCTAAATCACATAGATACATTTGGCATTACTGTTTTAGTTAAAAAAAAAATTTTTGAAGATCTTTGAGAATTTTTTGCATTTGTTTTGTGTACAAAATATATATATATATATATATATATATATATATATATACAATTTTATTTTTTGACTGTATGTTTGATTATGTGTGTGGGATGTGTGAGAAGGCAGCCCAGCAGAGCACGGTCAAGTGAAGGTTGGAGACGAGATCCTTACAGTAAACGGCCACAGGGTGGCAGACATGAACTATAATGAGTGGAAGAACAGTATGGCGGCGGCCTTGCAGCAGGGTAGTCTGCTTATGGACATCTGTAGACATGGCAAGAATAGTAAGTCCACACTATCTCACTGAAATAACATTACCAGACACTTTTTCTATGTATATAGCTGACTAAGTTCCTCTGTTCTTGGTTGACCCTGTAGTTAAAGTCTGAATATTCAATAGTAGTAATGTGCACATACAGTAGTGTATCAGTTTATGTTTGTCAGTTGTGTTTGGCTTGCTGGTTGCTGGTTTTCTTTTTTCACTGTTTTCCCTCTCAAAGGAAAAGTTCACTCAAAAAAAAAAAAGAAATACTGTAATTAATTACTCACATATATCTCAGCCTTCTTCTTCTTCTTCTTCTTCTTCTTCTTCTTCTGCGAAACACAGAAAAAAAATGCTTAAAAATTATCTACACTGCTATAGTGGACAGTCAAGCTCCAGAAAGGACAAAACCAAAATAAAGTACATAAAGAAGTCCATATGACTTGTGTGCACAACTTCTGATGTTATTTTTATTTTATTTGTGGAGCACATCTTTTAGTTATTAGTGTTCCACTGAAAGAAATAATACCTTTTAACAATAATAATAATAATAATAGTAATCATTTTTGGGTGATCTATTCCTTTAATGTCTACCTTTCCCTGGCCTGGTGTCTACGGTGTATGTGGTATGCTTTTATTTCTTCCTAAACAGTGTGCATTATTTCTCATGATCTTAGTTTGTGGTTCTTTATAATGTCAGTGGTTCATATTTTCGGTGTTTACTAGCAGGCTTATGGTTTTTGACTGAAGCCAGATCAGAGGGCATCTGTAAGCTAGTTGGTAACCCTGTTGTGTGTGGAGCTCATTCTGACTGCATGGCAGAGGAAGGTGGTCTGTCTTTCATCCCCGCTATTTAGAAGTATTATCCAGACACATTCAGTTTTTAGTATCTGTCTATAGTCGTACATTTCATTTCATAGATGCTAATTCTGTGTTTTTGAAATAAATGGTTTTGTTGACATGCCACAATCAGACTGGGGCAGAGACCTACCTTCCCTTCCATTTAAAAGCCATAAGACCATCAATCTGACCAGTCTGGATCCTCTAGGTCCCTCTGAGTCATACCTCAGCACCAGCCTGGATTTCACATCCCAACAAACCAAGGATACGGTTGTGAAAACTGTGAATGTCAGCTCTCAGCCTGGAAATGTGAGCAGACTATTATTATTCACTTATATATGATACTTAATGTTTAAAGTTGTATTTGGATGTATTTAATGGTTCTTTCCTTAGACTAAACAGATGACCTTTTTTCACAGAATTATGGTTCGAATGGGATAAATGGTGGTTTCCATGAGGATTCAGAGACTGTGAATAATAAAGGTAAATACCTTTTTTTCAGCTAATTGCTGTAAAGCCTTTTTGTAGTTTGTTTCTATGATTGTTTTATTAAATGCATGTTGTGCAGAAAATTTGTGGGTGGAAAATGTATCTTGTTCAGAGAATGTTTAATAGCTTGGCAAGAATGCTTGTTTTTGTTTAACTTAAAACAGTGTGATAGCCAAAAGTAAAAATGGGATAAGATATCATAGAATTCATAATAAGAATTCATTGTTAAATCTAGTTCCCCAGGGCGCCTGGAACTTTTTTTTTCCTTCGTACAAATTCAACTTCTTCTAACATTTTTATCTCCCATGTAGAATCTGAATCAATTACTATGAAAAACTTAAAAAGGAGGTCAGAGTTTTTTGAACAAGGTAACAGAACAGCATCAGTTCAATTCTGGTGCATTCAGACTTTGTGTTTCGGGGGCTGTGGGTAAACCGCTAAGTCTTCATCCTGCCATCCTCCTCCCCCTCCCTCTAGCAGAAGCCCCTCATAACCTCTGTGCTCTTCCCTCTGCAGGGCTCACAGCCAGTTCTCTGGTCTACCTCTGTGGTAAAGGGGGGTTGAGTGTACAGTGTCCACTTCCATCTCATGACATGACATGCTGTCTACAGGAGTCTTGAGTACTTTCAAAAGTAGAGGAACCTTAATGAGTAAATAGTGCAAAGTAGCAAAACAATTCTGTCATTATTCCCTCATCTTCTTCCAAAGCCTCTAAGACAAAAGGAGAACATGTTTGAAGATTGTTTTCAATGTTATTGTAAGTGTATTTACAATTAATGTGACCTAAAGCTATCAGGCTTCAAAAGGGACATAAAACGCACCATAAAATATCATAAAAATTGTCCATACAACTAAATTCCAAGCCTCCTGAAGTTTAGTTTTGTGTGAGCAGCAGACCAAAATTTAAGTCAACGTTCACAAATTATCTTCCCCTCCTATGGTCTGTTAATCACTTTGGCCAGATCAGAATAATTAAATTGAGCTGATTCATTTGTAAATCTGGCTGATTCATTAACAAATTATTCAAACTTGTGAACCAAATACACTGATTCATCAAAAAGATTCTACTCAAAAGAATTATTCCTTTATGAATCAGATATTACTCCACACAAGAAGCTTTAGGGCAGCTGCCAAGAATTTCTGTTAATAACTTCTTGAAGTGTGGTTCAGAGCTCTTTTTGTTAACTAAAACTAAGGCTATTACATTTTAATTATTATTATTAATTGAAATAACACTGAAGTAAAATAAATATTAAATGAAAAACTTGAATGAAACTTGGAAATGTTGGTTATATAAAGAACTAAAATATGTTTTAGTGCTAAAATGACTAAAACTAAAATAAATGAAAGATAAATAGATTTTTTTAAAACAAAAAGTAATAAACATGGCAATAGCAAAATTACTAAAGCTTAAATTTAAACTAAAAGTTTAAAAATAAAAGCTAATTCAAAATATTAATGAATACTGTAACAGTATATAAATAATACTAAAATAATACTGGTTCTGTTTGAAATGACATAAGAATGAGTAAATTATTAAATAAATCCCTTCAAATTTAAATTTGTCACATTGCCAATGATTGTTGTTGCTTACATCACCCCAGATCACAAAATCTTATTGAAACATTGTTGACTTTTGGTTGCTTTGTCACTGTCAGTGTGAACAAACGTTTAAAGTTTTTTTACTTTTTTCCTTTCTCTTATGTATAAAGACCTTTTAAAGACAGCATGTCAGGAACCATACCAACATACAAAACACTCTAAATAAAAAAAAATAGGAGACTACAACAGAGGCAGAGACAGTCCATATCTTGCTGATACCTGCCGCATTAATAAGATATCAGAGAATTTCCCCATAGGTAAAAATGAAAGAATTCAGGATGAGACAGATATGAATATGAGGCTGTACTACCTTCTCACACTCAAGTCAGTCTTGCTGTTTATCCCTGATTATAGGAGCAGCTCAGGGAAAGAAATCAGTAATCAGTGTGGAGTGTGTTGGTATTGTGTTGTGAATGTGAATAGTGCATGCTGTGCTGGACATGGATGTGGGGTTTGGTTTTACTAATAACCAGTGCTTCTGCATGTGATATTGCATTTGAAGACTGGCCAAAGGTGTCATTTGGTTTTGTTTATTGAAGACTTTGCATGTGTTTGTTTATCATTGTCATTGCATGTGGTTCTAATTTAACATTTATTTTATGGAGCTGTTGGGTTATGGGTTTCTTATTTAAGATTTTATTCTATGAGATATTTGGGATGGAATGCTGTTCATATGTTCTCTTCACGCTATCATGGAGGATTTCATTCAAAATAAAGGCTAGAATGTATCTTTTGAAAAGCATCTAATTGTAGCTGGTTTTTGCAGGTGGATCCGATACAGCAATATCAAATGTAAGTTAAGTTTGAATTGTTTTCTTTAATCAAACCACTGTTGTTGACAGGAATATGATCAAAGTAAGTGAATTATTGTGTCATTTAATCCATAATGCTGCTTAGTGTTTTGGGGCTTGGTTCCAAAAAAACAAAACAAAAAAACGTATCTTCGGATCTTTGACAAGACAATGTGATAATGCAAGATCTTGGAAAGGATATCTGTGATATTTTATTTGGCCAGTGTTTGGCTTCAATAATTATAAGAGTTTTCCACTTCTGTAGCTGCCTATTCCCTCCATCACTACATCCACTGAACGCTACTCCTGGGACCCAGAAGAAGAGCGCAGACGACATGAGAAGTGGCAGAAAGAGCAGGAGCGCTTGCTGCAGGTGAATATTACAGTAGCTGTGCTCATGCATTTGGCTTTATAAAGAAATGAACAACATATAATTATGTTAGGTAAAAAAAACAAGATTTATAATGTCTAAATGAATTGTGGTGAGTTTATTTTTTCCTAAGATTGCAGAAATATATATGCGTGGATGGATGGGTGGGTGGATGGATGGATGGATGGATGGATGGATGGATAGATAGATAGATAGATAGATAGATAGATAGATAGATAGATAGATATGCACCATATAGATATTTTTATTTTACAAAAAGACAGTGTTATTCTCTGTTTGTGTGTGTGTATGTTTATTTCATATCCAGCACATTTTACAAAATAATTTTGGCAGCTGTGGTACAGAAGAAACTGTAACTTTTACAGTATAAAACTGTAATTTACAAACAAGAAAATTTGAGTGTAAACTAGTAAATTCAACAATGCACACTGCTACTAAAATCTGTTTTGTATCTTTAACATAAATTGACAACCACCATAATAATGAAGGTGGTAAAAGAGACAGCAATTTGAAGAATCAGTTCATCACAAGTAGCTTTTCCACAAGCTGAAGTATATACTAATATATAGAAGGTGCACAGAGTCATTCACGCAAACACTAAACACCATCATGGTAACACACGACACTTAAATAATGCAATAAATATTCATTAAACAACAGAAGAAGTAGCATAAACCCACATGTACATAACTGATAACAAACATAACAAAACTATTAAGAAACATGATTATTTAAACAAAATACTTTCAAATGTGGAGTGTCACGCAGGGGGAATTCTGGGAATATCAGTTTACCGTTTTTACTGTAAATTATACGTTGATTTGTTCTTTTTTACTTCTAAAAATTTTACAATTAACAGCATTTACTGTAAAATTACATTAAATGTCTGGTTAGATCTTTTACAGTTTTTCCCTGTATATAGTACGGGAACTTACTGTTAACCTATTAACAGTTTTTTTTCTGTAGCATTTTTACAATATTTTTCAGTTACAATTACGCTCATTTTTTACAGTGTACTAATGAATTGTTTTGTTAATAAATGGCAAAAGCTCTGTGTAATTATGCATTTTGTCAATTTGAAGCATTGTTTAGCTACAATCAATGTTTTTTTTCTTTTTGTTTTCATCCTCTCTCCCTCCTGTTTTACCCTTGCTCGGCTTGCTGCAGGAGAAGTACAAAAAGGACCAAGAAAAACTCGATGAGGAGTGGAGAAAAGCACAGAAAGAGCTTGAGAAGGAGAGCTTCAAAAAACATGAGGAGGTATATGTAATATTTTATTTATGTATTTATTTATTTAATCCCTTGTTTTATGTAGGGCAGTATTCTATGGATGCCTAAGCAATAATTAGATCATATCCATGAGAGAATGTATATTCCAATAAATAAATGAATACATACATATACATAAATAAGAAAATTTACAGTTTTATATATATGTATATATAAGAAAATAACACAATTTATATATATATATATATATATATATATATAAGGGCTTATATATACATAAGCCATTTTTCTAATGATTTTGCAGCAAAACTATTATTTTATCTTGTGAAATATACAGTATGTAAATGTCTGTTATTCCACCAGGGCATGCAAACAATTTTTACTTATTTCTTTTTAAATGGTACACATCTGGCAGATACTGCAAGGGGTATGTAAACGTGTCACACTGTCACTGTCAAACACCAGAAAAAAATCCTTTGATTGCTGTTGAACAGGAGATGCTGCATTTAGAGGAAGAGAGGAGAAAAAGAGAGGAACAAGAGCGCCTTGAGGAAGAGAAGAAAAAGAGAGAAGAAGAGAGGAAAAAAAGAGACGAGGAGAGACTGCGTTTAGAGGAAGAGAGGAGAAAACGACAGGAACAAGAGCGCTTTGAGGAAGAGAAGAAGAAGAGAGAAGAAGAAGAGATGAAAAAAAGAGAGCAGGAGAGACTGCTTCTAGAGGAAGAGAGGAGGAGAAGGGAAGAACAAGAACGCCTTGAGGAACAGAGGAGGAAGAGAGAAGAGGAAGAGCGCTTCCTTCGGGAAAAAGAGAGGAACAGAAGAGAGGAGGAGAGGAGGCGACTAGAAGAGCAGAAGAGATTTCAGGAGCAAGAGTGAGTCATTTCAACAGTCATTACCCGGTTTCTCTTATTTTAATTTATGCCCCATCTCTCATTATCTGTGTTATACTGATATGAATGTATAATTTTCTCAAGCATGCATGTCAGTTTTGTTTACTTCCAGAACAATAACATGAATGGCACTGAATATCATGCTTGACAAATACTGCTTTAAATACCAAAGTAACCTGACTAAACTAGCATTGTTTGTGTTAGGGCTGGGAAGTATGACACTATAAATTTTGCACTACCTTCTATGCGTCGGCTGATATGTATATATTCAGAGCAATGAAGAAATATGTAATAATGCCAATAAAAAGTCATATAAATTATGAAAATTGAAATATGAAACAAAGATGTTGTTATGATAAACAAAATTAATTTGTAGTAAATTGTAGCTGAAGTACGGTCACAGGTGTATGTATATTGTCTATTTTATAGCACCTTCAAATGCGGCTTAATCAGTCAGGATTTAGAGCTTGTTATATCCATTTTATAATTAAATTAATTTGTTTTACTCTCTAGTCTTTGTTATTGCATGATGACAGGCCTATCATTCATTTGCTATGAAAAATCTTAACTTTTAAATAACCAAATAAGATAAAATACCTTTCATTTATAGAATATTTAATTCAGTGAGTTGCCAAATACCATTACCACATGGTTATTTAATAGTATTGTCGGAAAGTCTGCGGGTTGGTAAGAATTGTTAATGTTTTTTGAAAGAAGTCTCTTATGCTCACCAAGGCTGCATTTATTTGTTGAAAAATACAGTAAAAATTATTTAAAGAAATATTATTACAATTTAAAATAACTAATGCTAATTACTAATGTTTTCTAATGCTAATATGTTTTAAAATATAATTTATTCCTGTGATGCAAAGCTGAATTTTCAGCATTCATTACTCCAGTCTTCAGTGTCACATGATCCTTCAGAAATCATTCTAAAATGCTTATTTGGTGTTCAAGAAACATTTAATATTATTATCGATGCTGATGCATTTTTTAAACATTTTTTCAGTATACTCTGATGAATAGAAAGTTCAAAAGAACAGCATTTTTTAAATATGTATGTTTTGTAATATTATATTAGTGTTTCAGTGTAGAAGTAGTTTATTAATCTATTATTAATTTAGTTAATTTTTTTGTGAGTTTTATAGCAAAAATAACTCTGAGGTGATACATGCCGTTACTGCGATACAAAATACTCATGCCATTATTTAAGATTTTGGTCATACTTCCCAGCCCAAGTCTGTTTTTTACTCATGCATTATTAACCACACTAATTTGTCTTCTATTAATGTTGTTCAATCATGACTGTGTGAACATCTGCATGTCTGTGCTGGTTCTGCTGTTTAGCCAAAGTAAGGTGGACTACTTTGGCTATACCAATGTTTACCCTCAGTTATCCTACTCACACAGGTAATAGGACTGTTTCCACTCCCATTTGAATTTAATCATAGATGAATGAAATGCTTTCAGGCTATGCATCCATATAGGATTTATACATTGATAAGATCTTTCATCTGTTTGTTTATCAGATTGAGTAATCTTATTTCTTCCAATTTGGTTTGCAGATCCATTTCGAAATCTACTCCAGAACTTGATGAGGTTGAAAAAACAGATATTAAAGGTCAGTGCAGCTTTCATCTTTTCCTCTAATCTTATATGTGTGTCTATTGTTCATTTAACCAATAAGGAGCCGCTGAGACAGCATTATGTAAAGGATCGTGTCAGATTCCTCAAGAGCGTGTTGTCAGTGTGTCACACATTGTAAGGCTGGAGTTAAATGGGTGCTGTAGAGTCTGCGGCTCTCTGCAGGTGTGTACGGCAGACACAGGGGTTTGGCAGCATGGCTGCTGGAAGAGAAACTGATGCGAAAGAAAAACCCTCAGATCCAGAGAGAGCAGGCAGCAAGTGAGCTAGAGCTTGAGAGGAGAAGCATCCTCAATGCCATGAAATACAGAGACCCAGAGAGAGGTGGGCACGGCTCGACCCACACCGATCAATCGGCCCAACCAATCAGATCTGCCTGATTTATGCAAATTTGACAGATGCAATGCCAGCTAAATCAATCAAGCCTGTGTCCATGTGATCAGTGTGCATTTGATTTCAAAACTGTAATATAAAAATAGTGGGGTCCAAAAGTCTGAGAACACTAGTGAAAATGCTTCTTTTTTTATTTATTTTTTTATCATTGTTTTATAATGAGCTAATATACATTACACTACCGTTTAAAAGTTTGGTGTCAGTAAGGTTTTTTAAAAGTAATTAGTGCTTTCATTCAGCAAAGATGAATGAAACTGTTCAATAGTGTCAGTACTTTTTCCTTGTTACAGAAATATTCTGTTTCAAGTAAATGTTCAAAATTTGAAAAAATGTTTCTATTCATCAATGATTCCTGAAAAAAAGTATCAGTTAATATTAAGCAACACAATTGTTTTTTTGAGCTACAAATTACCATATTAGAGTGATTTTTAAAGGTGACATATTATGCCCCTTTTTACAATATGTAATATAAGTCTCTGGTGTCCCCAGAATGTGTCTGTGAAGTTTCAGCTCAAAATACTCCACAGATAATTTATTATATCATTTTGAAAATGTCTATTTTGAGTGGAAGCAGAAACACAGTTTTCTGTGCCTGTCTCTTTAAATGCAAATGAGCTGCTGCTCCCCGCCCCCTTTTCCAGAATAGAGCTGTGCCATTACAGCTCATACCTGCTAAAAAAAACATCTGTTTTGGTTCTGATTATCATGTTTATCGCGCTGAAATCATGCGTTTTAAACCATATGAGTTTAAATTTCTGAAATACGGTTTTCTGAGTGCACACATCAGAAACACACGGACAGAAAGCGCCTGTCACAGCATGTGAGTACTAAACTAAGTTCTCATTCACACACAAGTTTTGTCTGTGAAGGTAAACAGCTGGGAAATAAATCGCATGTTTATTTTAGATCTGTGTGGCAGCAGCAATATACATTAAATAAATCAATAAATCCACTAATCTCTTGTCTCCTCTGAGGCTGGGACTCTAAATAGTGTTCTGTGCTCGTCTGTGCAGTAAAAGGCAGAACAGTTAGCATGTTTTGCTCAAACCTTCGCCATGGCATTAGACACCGTTGTCGCTTGCGAAATCATAATGACGGCAACGTGGGCAGAAACTTATAGATTAAGGGGCGGTAATATTATGAGATCCCTTTGCCACGTCACCAAGGGAGCGAAATCAGACGCGCTCGTTTTCTCAGACGTTTGCAGAAAAAGGCTTACCTAAACAAAGTTAATGGGTTAATCTTTTTCACGTTTCCTTGGTTGGTATATGCACTGGGGACCTGATTATAGCGCTTAAAACCTGGAAAAGTCAGATTTTCATGATATGTCACCTTTAAAGGTTCATGTTCAAGAAGGTTCAAGAACATCTGACCATTTGTGCTGGTTTATTGCCAGGTTTACATTATATTTTGAATCCCAGATATCCACTGTTGTCTCAAACATTCAGGCCCCACTATATATAATTGGATGAAGATTATTTGAAATCAATTGCTCTTGCACTTGATGTCTACCAAGTTTATTTACAACTTGTCGCTTTGTTATTAATGGTCATTTTTGTCTGTTGTTGGCTCGAGCAGCGAGCGGTGGTCTGGGTGAGTTCAGTAGAGACTATAAGAAAGAGCCTCTGTCTCAGTCTGAGGTTGAGAGGCAGCAGATCCTTCAGGAAATGAAGAAGAAGACTTCCTTGAACACAGACAACAGCTGGATTCGCCAGCAGACCTCCACCAGTGTCACCGCCAAAGAACCGATTGATCTGCCCATCAGGAGGTCAGTATTGGCCAACATTATTTTAACTTTGTGACAAAATTATAAAATAAAATAATAAGGAAAAAAAAAACTGAGATGCAATTAATGTAAGCTTCAAGCATAAACATTAACAAACTCACTTTGCTTGCAGAGGCGAGTCACTTGACAACCTCGATATGCCTCGTTCCTCTTGGAGTTCATCATGGAGCACATCTAACAGCACCTCGTCCATACCAGACTACAGCCGGCCTCATTCGTCTCTCTCTGGCTCCTTGTCGCACCAGAGTGGACGTCCAGGGTCTGCCACTCTGCAGTCATCTCAGTCCATGAGCTCCCTCAGGCAGTCCTGGTCCCCATCTGCACCTACACCAGAGCCAGAGCCTCGAGTTCCACCGCGGAATAGGTATTCCTCACTAAAAGGAAATCGTCATTGTTCTCTATAAACACTCTAAAACAGTGGTTCTCACCTGGTGGGTTGATAATAGCAGAATAATAAAATGAATCATTCAAAGAATTCTGGATAGCACACCAAAGAGCTTATCACCTTCCATAAATTCTGTTGTTGACGTCAAAGGCCATGCGACCAATCATACTGCACTGGTAGATTTTTTTAAAAGCAAATTAAATTTAAACAAATGAAAAAACTCGCCAGTGCATTAATACAAAATGCACTTATATTAACTAAAGTTTTAAATTCTTAATATATTATTGCTTCTCATGTAAAGTGATCTTGTTTTAAGGATATGTAGATGTTTTTTACTGGAAAACAAGTTAATAAAGGATTCAAGTAAATTTTTGCAGGGAATATACAGTATATCATATATAATTATATCATTTGGCCCAGTGCTTGTTCTATGTGATTGGCTAATAATAAAATACACTAAAGTTGCTGTCACATTTATCATTGTTCTGCATATTTTCATGGTCAAAATGAGGTAATTTCAATAGGAATCTGTGCAATCTGGAATTCTGGTCATACAAATTCATTGCATTGCCCAACAGAAAGCTGCTTGTTTCAAAGTGGCATATGTGTGAGCTGTGCTACACTATTGTCAGTGAACAGTGGACCTTTTATGCTTGTGTAATTTCACAGAAATGTTGCTAATGTGACCGCACTTTAATATATTTTTGTTGACATAAACAATTTTGTTATTGTCTTGGGCTCGTAAAACAAAACCATTTGAGAACCACTGATCTAAACCATATCACCCATCCATTCCCATGTGTCTCCCATATTCTTGTTGTATTCAAAATGTGTTTGCATCCCACATGAGCCATTGGCTGTGCAAGTCTGTGTTGTCGGGCTTCAGATGATGTTTTCTGTAATCTAGGTCAGTGAGTGGCAGGAAAATATGTTCGTTCTGTAATACACCACTGGGCAAAGGAGCAGCCATGATCATCGAGTCCCTGGGGCTCTGTTATCATTTGAGTTGTTTCAAGGTGAGCGTTCAGCTACTCGGAGGTCAGGTCCAGCCTGACTTCATCAGTGACTAACCTGACTAATGTGCTCTGCCTGCTTTTACAATTATTTTAATCAGTTGTTCTGTTGCCGCATTAACTCGATCAACCCAGAGAATCAAAATGCCAGTTCTAGCTGCTTCATGGATAACGGCACTGACAGAACTGCAATGTGACTTATATTTCTGTCCTAAAAGACTCATTAATTTCTCTCAAATGAGAATAAACCATCAAGAACAAACCATGTGCATTCTGAAGGCTGGACTACATAAATCTGTTTCTGCCAAAACTGAAATATTTGTGATTTTGCTTCTATAACATTGTTGTACTATGACCATTTTGATTGCATCTGTGCTAAAAATCCCATCCCATAACAGAAACAAAAAAGACATGTTTGTGTATATTTTGCAAGGGTAATTCATCAAATAATGATCAAATAATGGAGAATAGTGTTGAAATGGAACATATCTAAAAATGTTCTGTAATCAAGCACACTTTATGCATATTAACATGCAGTTTATATGTCTGGATCACAGTGCTGGAGTCCCAGTTAAGTACACCAAATTGCAGTAATCTGCTGCATCTTCCATAAGTTTGCATTCCAAACTGGGAGTGTGCACCGTGCATAATGCATTTAGCATATTTATATCATGAATCGGGTGCTAAAACAGCAGACAAGTGTTTGTAAATAAATGATGCTATCAGTGGGTGTAATTCTTTCTTATTGAATTTCCTCCTGAATTTATTCCAAAGCCTTTACATTCAGAGCAGCTGTATGTGACTCATCTAGAGCTTAATCATTCCTCGCACATACTCATCATTCTCCAAATGCCTATCATTTGTATTTCTGCTCATCCTCTCATTCACATTGCATTGTCCTGCTAATCTTGTTGCCGGGTTATTTCTGGTCCTTTCGGCTGGTGTTATTACTTCAATTTCATATCCTCTTATGCTGCTACCATTGACCTCAAGCTAGGATTCTCTTTCTCACTCTTATATGGAGGTGAGTGAATGATACAGCTTCACATGGAGGATTCCATCTTTCTAACAATGTGTTCTTTCATCTTGTGTTTACAGTGCTTTAACTGCAGGTCTGATTTGGGAGGCTCAGAAGCAGGAGCAGAAGTCAGAATACGAAGCCAACAGCTCTATTGTAACGCCTGCTATATTCGACTCAAAAGTAGGCCACACATCTCTGCAGTATATGCGGCTCAGTTACATAGATCACCAAGTGATTTCTTTATGATGATTTTTCTCTCTTTTCAGCTGGGCAGCCCACAGCCTTGTGATCTTGCAGTACTGCAGCAGATCGAGGAGGAACCAATCACAGACAAGGAACTGTAAACACTAAGAGTGTGTTGGAGATGTGATGAACATTGGGTGATTTAGCCAGCCTTGATTATTCAATGAGCTTCTATTCTTCCTTTTTTACTTATGAGAGGGTGAGATTCCTAAGGTTATGACTATTTGAAAGTATTAGTAATTGTTTGTACAAAAGGGATGCGCATGTACCTGAATATGAACTATGCATTTGAAAAGATAATTCATCACTTTTTCATCATCACTGATTGAATATCCTGATGACTTTTGGCTGGTTAACTGATATCTCTATGGTCTTGAAAGTGTTTATAGTAATTAATAGAAATATGCAATTTTATTGTTATTGCTTATCTAGGTTTCTCCTGCAGTCTTTTCTATATAAGATTTGCTGACTAAAATATCCTGTTATTCCACTTCATCTGTGTGCCTTTTTGTGTTCTTATGGAAAGAGATTATTAAGGATAAATCCATTAAGAATTTATTTAAAAGTGGCATGGTTAGTAAGCAGCACTCATGAGTTATGTACTCTTTCATTGGTAGCATCTATTTTATGCATCTGAGCAATTTCTCTGCAGGGGAAAAGATGAATTGAGAACAAGAGCAGCAGCATGCTCAGTTATAATTGTAAATAAAATGTCCAAACTGTAATACCTTTCCTGAGTGTGATTTACTTGACTAATCTCTCAATAATTAGATTTTATTTCTCCATTTAAGACTAAGCTGAATCCACCGTTACTGCCTCCAGAAGACATTGGTTTGACTTTCATAGTGTTTATAGCCTCATCACATTCACAGGGGATTTCCATCCAATAACTTTTCCTATGGTTCATGTATTTTTATCATACTGCAGTACTACACTGCATTTCCCATGATACTTGTCAATGAGTGTGTATTTTTGTTGCAGTTGCCTAATGACTACATCTGCACACTGCAAACTTCTGTTGGGAATTCACTGCTAGTCCTGTAAAAGTGAATCTGATGTATCAGGGCCTCAGGAGCATTACAATAATATTATTGTTCAGATTATAACTAGACAGAAAAAGAGGAGCCCTGCGATTCATGCAGCCAGAACAGTTTTCTGTTTTTCATACTTCTAATGGAGAGCATCAGCTGATTCTCATATCAGTGTAGTAATGCCAGATAACTAGCAAGTAAATAAAATATATCAAGTAGGCTATATCAATATAACCATTGTACATTTAAAAAGCTTCAGATAGCCTTAAGCCCTAAGTCTCCCCATGTGTATTTTGTTGTCTTTCTTACCCTGCAGGTAGGGTTGCCAACCGTTCCGTATAATACGGAATCGTCCCATATTTATTTATTTATTTAGTCATTTAGCAGACACTTTTATCCAAAGCGACTTACAAATGAGGACAATAAAAGCAGTCAAAACTAACAAAAGAGCAACAATATATACAGGTGCATCTCAATAAATTAGAATGTCGTGGAAAAGTTCATTTATTTCAGTAATTCAACTCAAATTGTGAAACTCGTGTATTAAATAAATTCAATGCACACAGACTGA